TAAAATTATTGTTATAATTAATCATGAATAAATAAAAATTTCTTTATAAAAATCCATAGAAAAAGAATAGCTATCAACCAACCAGAAGGACCCCAGGTAAATAACCAATTAGTTGAAATGGAAATAATGACAGAGCTGGAAGAGTAATTCACGCTAGAACTCCAATCAGGGAAAGAACAACAGAAATTGTTGGGCAATGGAAATAAATATCTTATTTTATAAAATGGTCAAAAGAGATGGATGAAATGGATAAAGATTATCGTCAGAATTTATAAAAGTCATATCACTATTAGAAACATAAGCCCGCTCAAACACTACCTTTCAAAAACTCATTAAAAAAATAAATATGAAGAGGGAAAGAAGAAATACAAACTAAGCTATAATGAAGAAGTTTCTCTAAAAAAGATATAACTCTTTCTTACTAGAAAAGAAGAAAATCGATAGACTTCGACCAAACCATAACTGAAAAGGATACTTTTAATAGTAATTTAGGTGAGCAAAAATTATATCTATAAATTTAAATACTTTAAATGATATCAAACCTTTTGATGATTAATAAATCCTTTACAGTCTTTGAAGTTGTGTATTTTTATTAATAAATAATAAATTGTGCTTGAATAGATAAGCTTTTAAAATATTAAATCAAATTTTTTTAGGATTAATTCTAGAGATATATTCTATTATGTTTTTTATTTAATAAATTAGTAATTAATTGTTCCTATTTTTTAATTTCAAACTAAGAAAACCTAAAATTGGAATTAAAATTAAATTTAACATTTTAAATTCATATTTTTACTGCACTCACAGTTGTGAATTAATAAATTTATTAAATTTTTTTTCTAATGAAGTATCATTTATATTTAAATAACAAATTTTATGATATATTAATAATTAAGCCCTACATTATACTTGTGATATATCTATAAAATAAAGTATCCTGAATTTACTCATAGTAAAAGTGAACAAAATTTTGGAAAACACTTTCGTAATATTTAAAAGTTATCTTACAAGAACATAATAAAATGATAATGAGCAGAACTGAAAAGGACATCAACCAAAAAAAAGGATATAAAATTTTCTGTCTTGACATCCTAAAAACGGATAAACTCATCAAAAAGACCTGAATCTGAATTATTACCATCAGGAGAATAACAGACTGACATGACAGCATATTAATGACCATCTAATTTGGCTTTTAATAATCCTGTCGTAATATCCCATAAACGGATAGATCTATCATGACTACCAGATGCTGATGTATTTCCATCAGGAGAGAAACATACTGACATAAAAAAATGAGTATGACCATCTAATTTGGCTATTTATTATTTGGTTTAAATATCCCATAGAAGGATAGACTTATCTTCACTACCAGAAGTTAATATATTGCCATTAGATTAGAAACAGACTGACATGGCAGAATTAGTATGACCATTTAATATGGCTTTTTATTATCCTGATATTATATCCCATTAAAGGATAGAGTTTTCATGACTACTAGAAGCTAATATTTTTCCATCAGGAGAAAAACAGGCCGAGTTGACTGACCTTGTATGACCAATAAATTAATTTAATTCCTGAATTCTTAAGTTGCTCCATTTACAATTTAATAACAATGCTCCATTCAAATTAATCCCATCAATATTAACATCATCAAATTCAGATCCGCATAAATTACATTGAACAAGATTAGCTCCCATCAAGAAGTATTTTAGATCTTAATATTTTCAAAATATTTATTTCTAAGATTAACCTTTATCTAAACTAATACACTTAATGAATTTGACCCACATTGAATTAAACTGTTATCTATGGATGTTAGGTGTACCAAAAATTACAAAAATTCTACGATCGATCTATCATGCTTTATGCTATTTATTAGAACTTGTAGAGATTCTTAATATTGTACACTAGAGTAGTCTTTTTTATTGAAGTCATGATCTTTTATTTTTTTTTTAGACATCAGTAGTTTATTACAAGCTATTTCTAACATCATACAATTTTGATTTATTATCAACTTGTTGTAAAGTATTTCCAAGCCTTAAGATTTATTATTCTAAATGTCTTTTATTTTCATTATCTGAAAGATATCCAATGCAGTCTTAAATTTTCTCCTTTCGATATATTTCTAAAATGAAACCAAATATTTTCTCATCTACATCTATAACTTAAGCAAAAATGCTAGTTAGAGCTTAAATCTATTAAATAGTGGAATTCATTATCTTTTTATTTTTAATAATGAATTTTATCACTATTAATTTGATTTAAACAAAAATCATAAAATGCATCTTATATATATTTGTAAAGTTGTCGTTTAGATTGGAATTGATGGTAAATGAGGTAAATTGCTATTGAGAATTTTATTCTACATCTGCACAGCTTGATTCTTTAATAATATAGAATAACTATATATCGTAAATATCATAAATTATAATTAATAATAAATAATGTTAAATTTTTAACTAAATATTCACAATTAGGAATATGTCTGAACAAAATCTGGCTCGCACCTGATATTTATCATGATGTATTTTGGATTAAGGTTTAAGATAATTACTCTCTCTTTTTTATTTTTGAATAGGAAATTTCACAAAAAAACTCTTAAATATTTTAGACTTAATAATCATATATCCATTTAATGCTTTTGGCGAAAAGTTAATTTTTCACATATTTCTGCTTTAAAATCTTATTATTTTCTTATTGATTATAAACCTGAGGTTAGTGAAATCATAAATTAAAAAGTAAACAGATTATTTATTTATTCCTCCTTTTCATGATTTTCATAATGCATTTGGTAAATTAATTAAAAACTAATTTTTTGATTTTATGGTTTTTATTTATTAATTCATTAAAAAGATAAATTTCTTTTTCACCCTAAAATAAATTGTCGGTAGTATATTAAAAATATATTGAGTCAATCTAATCAATATGTTATATTGACTTAATATAAATTTAATTATTAGATATGAAGGAGATTATTTAAATGTTACATTTTTTAAAATAATTTAACTTGTATTTAAACTATGTCTTTGTAGATTTATTTTTATTTTTCATCATTTTTTTATTTATTACCATGGAGATAGCTCTTCAAAATATTGAAATTCTTTTATTGAAGTCATAATGTGATTAAAATTATTTATTTATAATGATATGAAATTCTCCTCATAAATCATTCCTTTTTAAGCAGTCCATTAGTTTTACAAACACCTTAGAACAGTATTTCTCAATTCTATTATTATTAATATTCTTTATGCTTTTGAATCATTGTTCTACAATCTTACGAAAAAAGTTGGCTTTTTATGTCTCTTCAAACTTTTTCAATAGAATTAGGTTATGGGCAATAAGGGGAAAGATAAAGATGATTGATTTAGTTGATTATATGCTATTTTCGAAATTGTTCCTTATGAATAGATGCATTATCTAAAATAAAGAAATACAAACCTCAACCAAATTTTTCATTATCCAATTAAATTATATCAGTTAAGAAAACATCTCAACCTTTTTTTGAAATTCTAATTTTACAAAAATGCAATAAATTTTTATTTCTATATAATAAATCTTTCTCAAAAATGGAGTCAAATCATTAAAAATTAATCTAATTTTCATCTTCAGCAATGAAAAATTTTATATAAAATATTACAAAATTAATACCTCTCTATATTCAAATATTTTTCTTCATAAATTTTAAGGTAACTCCAAAATGGGCAGAAGCAAATATTGTGATGGGTCTACTTCTTTAGACATATTAATACTTAATCAAAGATAATCTTTATGTAAAAGTTTGACAAATTCAAACCACTTGTTAAGGTTTTTGAATACAAAACTAAAAAAAATTAATATATTATGGAAATCTAAATTGATTGGTCAACCAAGTGATTATTGATTATATCAATAAATGGTAATTGCATTTATTTTGTAAACTAATATATTAGTATAACATAAGTAGTATATTTAAAGAATTCAAATTTTTGTAAAGTAACTAGATTCATTATAATTCTTATTTAATGAATACTATATATTTTAAATATGAAAATTCAGAAATTTCATTTTTGTAACCTAGATATTTTTAGAAACATAATAATTATAAACAATAAAATTTTTAATAATTGTAAACTAAGATTTGTAAATATGATAATGATTATCTTCATTAGAATACTTAATTTTGTAAACTAAGATAATTTAAATAAGTATTCTCTTGAATAAAATGCTTAAAGTTTGTAAACTAAGATATTGTAAATATGATAATTATGAACTTCAATAAAATATTTAATTTTTTAAACTAAGATAATATTAATATGATGATTGATAACTTCAATAAACTACTTAATTGTTTTTAACAAAGATAATGTTAATATAATGATTATTATATTTAAATCTAATACTTTATTATTTTAAACTAAGATAATGTGAATATTATGATTATTGTAAACAATAAAATACTTTATTATTTTAAATAAGATAATGATAATATGATAATTATTATATTTAAATCTTATACTTTATTATTTTAAACCTGTATTATGTTAATATGATAATTATTATAAACAATAAATACTTAATTTTTTTTAACTAAGATAATGTTAATATGATGATTATTATATTCAATTAAATACTTAATTGTTTTTAAAACAGATAATGTTTATATTTAAATCTTATACTTTATTATTTTAAACTAGTATTATGTTAATATGATAATTATTATAAACAAGAAATACTTAATAATTTTTAACTAAGATAATGTTAATATGATAATGTTTATATTTAAATCTAATACTTTATTATTTTAAACTAAGATAA